ATTTTATGATGACATATATTTTTATGTATTTGACATTACACAAGTATTAATTATTTATTGATCAGCAGCTCATACGATATTCAAGCAATGCTTAAAAACCAAATTTGTAATGAGTTTGGCATACACGATATCCAGCCTCCAGCTTTTGTGGTTGACACGGACCGACAGACACTCAGACGGACGGATGGACAGCCGGCTTGACTCATATCGCCATCCTGATCAGAAAATATATATTATATATGGGTATGCTACGCAACCTTCTCATGTTACATACATTATAAACCTGAATTCCAACTATAGCAGGGTTTATGGTATACAAATGAAATTCTCCACAACATAATAAAAAAGAAAATCTAAAATGTTCATAGATAGCATTAACTTTCCAATTCGAATTTAATTCACCAATAAGTACAGTAGCCGACACGTAACGACTAGGATGGTACCTAAGCTATAGGTTGAAAAAAAATTCGGTTTGATACTTTGTACAAAATAAGAAAAATTAATGATTATTCCAGAAATTCGTTGTCCACAATACCAGCATATTTAATACCAATAGGTAAAGTTCAAGGTATCAGTTCACATGTGTGAATGAGACAGCTTAAAATTGTAATGACACGAAAGTCTTTCTTATTTTAATTTTCTTATTTAATGTGAGCTGAATGTATTAAATGATTTAAATTGCTGACGCTTTGATTGGGATTTTCTTTGCTCATCTCAAGGGCGATCGCTTATATATATATATTATTACATATTAAAAACAGTAAATACTTTAGTATTTAGTATTTGCAATATTTTTACTTAATATCTCAAGACTCATTAGGATTTATCCCATAAATATTTTAGATTATCTGTAAATTATTACTTAAGTTAATTTGATTATTTAGTTCTTATATCGTATTGGTTTTTATATTTTTTTTATATTTGATATCGTCAAGTATTTAATCATGATCTAACAGTACTAGAACTCTTTATAGCTTACATTTAAATTATATTGTATATACATGTATGTTATTATTTCCAATATACAAATATAATCTTTTGGTAATGATACATTTCAGTAAACCCAATAGAGGCAAAAATGAAAAAAAAAATACCTTAATATAAAATCATATTCACGTGGCTAAGGAATAATTTAGTTAAGATATCTCGAAATGCAATAATTTATAATTCAATACACACTTTTAATTATATATATACATCTCGTACGCCTAAGATTTTGCCAATTTATGGGAATAGCAAATTTTGTATTATTATTTAAAATTTTTTTGTCGGCAGTATATCGGCAGAACAATGAATTTGTAAATATTTTAATCTTCACATCTTCGAAATAAAAATCTTTAAATGGAGATATTATTAAACTGAGCAAATCAACCATTCGCTAAGTAAAATTATATATGAACTTTTAATATTTGTAGATGTACAACATAATCAAAATAAGCATTTAAAATTTTTGGTATGGTATGCCTGTCTTCGTTATTTGAATCTACATAACTACTTATATACCAGTGGGATGAAAATACTCGCTCACAAACTAAAAATTATTCATTTTCTTTTACTCGAATTTTTACTAATCTTTGCCGCTTTTTTTGAGAGAATATGACAAAGTCGGCAGAGACCGACTTCAATATTCTTACTTATTTTTACTTTGTTGTCATTTATTACATATGAATTATACTACTACATTTATTTAATAAACATATGTTATTCCATTTAGAAAATTCAATAACATTGTAATACTATGCTTGCTTATTTGAAACATACAGGAAATATATATCAACCAAAAATAATGATGATTCAATATAACTAGTATAAATAACAAAAATTATATATATTTATATTCCTATATGTATTTACATAAGTTTAAACTCAATCTTGATTTTTTAATATATTTTTGACTTGATAAAATAACTAAACTAAAATCTTTAATACACTAGCGAATTGAGTGTGTTACTGTATGATTCTCTTACCTCAACATAACTTTCAATATCTACTAAATATTATAAATATGTACATATTCTAAATACATAGTAAGGCACCTTTGAACTTAGATTTGCAAATGATTAAATATTTTTAAATAATAATCTTGACCGATAAAATAAAAATACTATATAGTAAAATTATAACATCCATGGTGATTGCTAATCGATTGCAACTTGAAATGCCCATTTTATATTCCATATCTATGTCCAGGAGAAGATCATGATTGCGTGTATAGAACTGATGAATATCACTGATCTACAATATATAAATAATTTTTTAGCTATTAAGCTATTTTAGCTATAGCTAAAATGTATATCCAAACCTCATTCCATCCATATTTGTTTTTAGCTTGCACTATTGCCTCATAGACAGCATTATGTTCCAGGTTCCGTATGACGTATGACATTAAATAATGTGTACCGTCTGTCCGAATCGGAATAGGTTTTATATGATATTCGTGCCATTTACCGGGATGCTGGTAGGTTTCGTTCATCTAAAAATTGTTGGTTTGATTAGGAACATATATTTGTCAATATTTATTTTTTTCTTTTAGTACTTACCAGCAGCCTCCGGTACAATAACTTAATTTCTTCTAGAGGGGGTATCGACTCTATAGTCCAAGTCAAGTTATAATGATCTAAAAAGCCACTTAAGGCTGGCGAGATAAAATCAGCTGGACCTGGTCTTCCAGAAACCTCAATGTATTTCTTTGTACGTCCCAGCGCATTGTCGGCAACACAACTATAGTTTCCAAAATCAGTTTGTTGGAAATTTCGAATAATGAGACTGTATCTATCATCATGAGGATACATGGAACGTCGATCAGTTGGATCCAGTAGGAACGAGTTCTGGTACCACAGCATCTATTGAAGTAATTTCACATTAATATTTTTCTACCTTCTCCGTTTATAACTTACTTCAGAATTTACATCCCCATGAACCACACACACTAGCTCTATATCATATCCTTCTGCAGCGTGAACCCAAGCTTTCTCTACCGTAATTTCAGGAGGTGCTTTAATGAAAAAAGTTCATAAAATAATTAGTAAATATTACTACTTGTATTTGAAATCTTTTTTGTGATTTCTTCTTATCTTAGAAATTCCTCAGTACACAGCCACCAATTGGAATGAAATATTAATAGAATCTAATATAGATTTCCTGATATCGGGATGGTTCATAATTGATCTGTGTTGAAACTTACATATTACCTACCAATATAAAGTTGTATTTTGCAAAAATGTATGTAGATCTACTTACATAATATAGTTAGCTGTATATCCATTGATACTCTTTCTTTAACACCATTATCGGCGGAACATTGATATGTCCCTGCGTGATGTCTATCGACATTTTCTAAAATCAATGTTGAACTGTCTGATAAATGAGTTGGCCCAGAGTAAACGTCTTTCTTAAACCAGTATATTGTTGGAACAGGATTGCCTGATGCTTTACACTCAAGTGTAACTGTGCTTCCCTTTCGCGCAGTTACTTGACCATTATGTGGAAGGGCCCTCAACGTTGGCGGAACTGTAAAATAATTATATTAATAATTTATAGGGAGATGATTAATATTTTGAAAATACCTAAGATTTCCACCGTGTGGACCTGATCTCGATTTTCCTGGTCTCCAAGCTGACATATGTAGTCGCCGGCATCTTGAGTCTTAACTCCATTTATCTGAAGGTTGTAGTCTGCACCAATCTTAAATCTCTGATCTCTTGTAATTTTTAAATGGCCAGCAGTGAGCACGGAAGAGCCTTTTCTCCATAGTAATACGTATGAACCAAGATTTTGAACTTTACATGGTAATTCAATTGTTTCGCCTACTATTACTTTGTAAAGGTGGCCCCTAGACAAAAATTTTGGTGCTGTTGTAGGAGCTTCATTTTCTGGTAGTATGAATGATCCCTCTGAAATGGAAACTAAAAAAGGAACATAAATGGCTTTAAAAGCTAGATAMAATTTAGAGGACTTTTTTTTTTTTAACTGATATAAAAAAATATTAGTTTTAATTTTAATTGACGTTAAACATAACATGACTACTTCTTATATTTTAATATCTGCAAAATACTTGAAATTGATGTTTCAATTGTTTCATAAATCATTTGAAAATTTTATCTCATCGGTTAAGCTGTAGAGTTAAGTAAATTAACGCATCTACTCTATACAAACGTCTGTATTAATTTTAGAATACTATTAACAGAATGGCAATTGCGATAGAAGCAGATTAGTCAAGCCTCATGATACTAATGAATTTTAAATTTAATTTTTTAATTTTTTTAAATGTCCGTATATATGTGCATATAACGCGATGTTTATTTCTAAAAGTCGAGAACTCATCCGGGTTTTTTATCGATTAAAAGCCTTATCGAAAATAAATTATTTTATTATATCTCCAACAAAGCTTGTCTCCAAATTTTAAATGTAGACTCAAATGTATTTTAGATAATTTCGATGGCAAAGTCCATCCCCAAGAAAAGTTATTAAACAATTAAGTTCCCATAGTAAGCTTGCACTGCAGGCTGCAGGCCATGCGTGCTTGTGCGTGCGTGCCTATGTGTGTCTGTGAGTATGTTTCTTGTAAAAGCAGAAAAAAGCGAAGAATTATTGAAATATATATCAGTTCCTCGAGGGGTTTGGGGAATCTCATATTCTATCTGAAATCTATTTAACATATCAGAAAAGAATTCAATATTTGTATTACCTGCTGCTAAACAGATCACCTTATTGTTTCACTCCTCTTCATATCAATTATTTAAATACATATGTAGATTATATTTGTTGTATTGTGTGCTTGGCGTGTCGCCCTGCTATATTTCTGAACGCAGTAAATTTTAATTATTTTCGGTCCTTAAATATTATTAAATATTTAAGTTGTTTGACCAACATACATACTTGAAATGCACTTACCTGTAAATGAAATCGATATAGCCAAAAAATAAATGAAGAATTGCATAGTTGCCCACTGATTGCAAAGTATCTGGAAGAGAAATACATAATACATATTGCTTAATATAAATTAGTAGCAAATTTACATAGAAAATGTAATACAGTCGACTCTTGTTATTTCAAACCTGCGTTATTTCGAACCTCTCATTAATTCAAAGTTATCACTCAGTAATTCGAACTAAAAATCATTGCTAAGACGC